TAATTGTATAATATATAAATTTTGTAATTAAAATATAAATTTTAGGTAGTAAAAATTTAAAAAAATTTACTCATCATAGAAATTTATAATAAAAAAATTTTTTAAAAATTTAAATGGGGGGATTTTTTTTGAACATTTAAATCTTTTTGTTATTTTACATAATGTTTAACATATATACATATATTTGATATTTTTTTTTTGTTAAATTTACTTTAAAAAGGCGATTTAAAATCAAAACAACTGTGATACAGTAGGAAAATCGTGATGGTGGTAATAATGAATTTTGGTAAAAGGTGAAATTTACATATAAATCCAGCTTGAAATCCAGTATAATCTTCAAAAAAAAAAAAAAAAAAAGTTTTCCTCAAATGAAAATCGTGACGAGAATGGTCGTCGTCGTTTTTCCCTTATTTCCATATAAAAAAAAAAAAAATATACATATTTATTTCAAAACAATAATATATATTTATATTTAAAAAAAATGTTTTTATTTTTATTTACTTTAATTATCGGGGGGTGAATAAAATCATTTATTAAAAAAAAAAAAATAATAAAATTAAAAAAGAATGAGAATTTTCACTTTCGTTTGTTCATTTTTAAATTGTACCAACAGAAATAATCAAAAAAAAAAAAAAAAACCGTTAAAATACCTAAAAGATTTTCCAAAAACTCGAAAAAAAAAAAAAGATTACAAATATTTCTATCCGCCCCTGACAAGGTTGTTAAGGGAAGTTTTTTTTTTTTTTTTTTGCTTTTCCAAAAGCTCGAGAATCGGCTTTAGGTCGTGGCCATGACCTAGGGTGACCTTGCGTCCTTAAAGGGTGGCTAGCCTTGCCAGTTACCATCTAGATCCGGTTTTTTCTTTTCTTTTTTTTTTTTTTTTTACAACAGTGCTTGTATTTTCCAAACTGTTAATTTTACGGTAAAATAAATTAATTAATAAATATATTTTTTTCAATTTTAAAATTTAAATTTAATATTATCAAGTTAAATAATTATTATCATTAAAAAATGTTTATAATCACGTAAGTTTTTTTTTTTTTTTCAAATTTTTATTTATTTACAAATTTATATATGTGTGTAAATTTAAACAAGTTTTTCGTAATTTTTCTTGTTTTATTATTATTATAACCAATATTCACCGTCATTTTATTTTTCGTTTGAATAAAAAAAAATTTTTAAAAAATTTATAAGTTTTTTGTTTTTTTTTGGAGGAGGGAGGGAGGGGGGGTAGTGTCAGCGTAGAAACGTAAAAACGTTTTCGTTTTTGTAAAAAAAAAAAAAAAAAAGTCCTAGCCGCCCTATTTACTTTTCGGTCGCGCTTTACTCTTGTTTCCATGGCACCCACGAGAGCTACTATTAACTTAGGGGGGTTTGAAGTCTCCCGGCTCCGCGGGGTTTTACTTGCATTACTTGTTAATTTTCTTGACATTTTCACACAAATTTCCCACATTTTCATTTTTCAAAACAAACTCATATTGTTAAATAATAATAATAATAATAAAATTTAAACTACTAATATTTAATTTAATTTCAATTTTCTGTTTTTCTTAAATTCAAATACTAAAAAATTTTTCGTAAAAAATTAAATTCGTTGAAAATTTATCGATTTATATAACGAATTTGTAGGTTCATTTGAATTTTAATAATATAAATATAATAAATTATTATAAAAAAAAAAAGTATGATTAAAAACTAAACAAAAAAAATTTTGAGGGTGATTATGGTTAAACGTTTTATTATCATTATTATTATTACTACTAAATGACCTTGAAATAAACGGAAAAAATATTGAAAAACGTTTTTTTTTTTTTTTCCAGGGAAACAGCGCTCTAAGCGGTGAAAATTTAAACTTGAGCTCAAAAGGGTTCCTAATACAGTTGTTAAACGTCGGGCAAAGAGAACAGACACACACGTACACTCACATTGCATTTTTTTAAATATATTT